ATCACTTGTCCTTGAGTCGAAGATATACTGCCGGAGCATCTATAGAGCATCTGCCTCACCACTGGGTCTCTGCACACAGCCGGGAACAAGAGAGGGAGAACTTGCAGCTTTTAGTAGCTGTGCCCTGGCTTCAGGTGCTGAAACATCACTTAATCTACAAATCCACAGGGTGTAAGGTCACGGCGCCCTATAGGACGAACTGAAAAGCAGAATCCTGCTCAGATTGCAGTCACAGAACAGAAGTACACACCGTGCTTCCTACTCTCTTTTCCCTGCTGCACACTCCACTTTGCTATAAGGTCTGAAAGGATGCCTGTCACAAAGCAACACCTTGGCTTTCCGGAGACGATGTGAATCTGCAGGAGGCAACTTCACATGTGCTTCGAGGCTTGTTACTGTTCAGGCTTTACTAGATTTATTTGTACAAGAATAACACATGAATAACACAGGTACATGCATAAAAGTTACAGTGCAGTGTAAGATGTGAATAGTTCAATTAAAAGTAGTGGCAAAAAGAAAAGTCTTCATCCTGGATTTAAAAGTAGTCAGAGTTGCAGCGGACCTGCAGGTTTCTGGGAGTTTGTTCCAGATATTTGACAATTTCCCGAACCAAATCAGATCCCAGAAATAAGGTGTGTAAGCATAAGAGATGTGTACCTATGGTTGTACAACTTAAAGTATGTCATTAAATACCAACCTGTACATGTAAAGCATTCATGCATCAATACAAGTGCCTAAATGAGATGATTAAATGTCATTATGCCAAACATTCGTCCATCTTTAGCTAAGTGGCGATCGAAAATCCTACCAATGTGATGAAGTTGGTTCTTACGGTAACGAGGGCTTTTCATTTCTGCCGATTGCATTTCAAAAATCATAAAAGTGGACTTCATTTGTGAAGCATGCTGAACAAAACAATCAAAAGCTTTTGTTTGCTACAAATCTTATTTTCGGAAAGAAATCCAAATTCCAATGGAAAGGAATCCAATTTGCTTTTTGTGGAGAAACAGGGCAGCGAGGTTAAATAAAAAGCTCATCCCTGCAGCGCTTTGTGACAGACAGCTGATAAGCTTTGGTCCTTTTTGTAAAACCAAACTGACTTTAGACATTAGCCCAATATCACACGTTCACTTTAAAGCTGCCCCTAAGCTGAATTATTGTTCCAGGAAGAATATATTTGGACAGAATAATGACAAAGACCAACCAGGTGACACAAAGTAGGAATCATACAAGGAGTTACTTTGTAAATTCAAACACAGCTTCGGCCTGAGATTTCCAGATCGTTCCTATCCACCCAATTCATTAAACTGCATTTTATTCTTGATTGTATAGCAGTGCATGATGACTCCTACTATACACTTAAAGTGGACCTATCATGCTATATTTCAATAATATATTGTAGGGCCATAACTATATAAGGTATATTTATACGTTTTCTTTTTCAAAATACCAAACAGATCATGCATTTTAGCCATGCCTCATTTCGCTCGATTTTGCTCTCCTCCACCCTGTCTTTGCATGCGCTGCAGCTGACCACGCCCCCCTGCAAAGGAGGGGGCCGAGTTACGAGCGTCATGTTACCATGCTGTTACCATGCTGTTACCATGCCACGGCAACCTCTCATTCCCCTGATAGGTGGAGAGTTGGCCATATAGGCGGAGCTCCTCCGTCCTGACTTCAGAGAAATGTTCAAATCTGGATCAGTTTTTATCAGATCCGTTGCAGCCCCGTTTTTAGAGATTTGGGTATGGAGGAAAAGAGAGAGGGTTGTGTTTTCTGACACTTGGTGAGTTCCCTTGTATGATAGGTCCCCTTTAAAGTATGCTCTGCATGATGCTTGAAGGAGGCATTAGGAACGTTTGTTAAGGTAAGTATTCTGCATCTTGGCATTTTCGCGAGGTTCGCTACTAGTGTAATAATATGCACTTATCCACTTTTTTTTAATGCTCTTATTGTCGTGCAAAGAGCAAGACAAATAAGACTGTGAGTGGTTTTATCTAAAGCTGCATTTACACCTGGTGTTATCACATGATTTGTATCTGGATATTGAAATCCAATCCACAGACTTGTCAGTAAGCATGGCACGTACAGTACCAGTGACAAGAGAAACAATTCAGTGCACAAGTGCAGAGGAGAACTTGCTATCTTATGCTAATACTGCGAGGCTAGCTTGAGTTAGCAAGATGAGGAGTTGTGTTTACAACAGATTTTCTTCTATAACAAGTTGCATTTACACTTGACCTGATCCTAACCCTCAGCCCAAGATGCAGACTGGCTGATCTGATCGCTTTGTGTTCATTAAAATGTGTTTGTCCTTCACACATATCCGGATACAGATCGCACAAATAAACACGAAAACAGCTGCACTTAGAAGCCAATTTTCATAATGGCCTAAACATGGAATTACATTTTCCGGATTAGTTACAACTAAACTATTTGGTTTCAAGTCCTAAAAAGTGAGTTACACACACATCCTGTCAGATGGAGCCTTGTTAGCTTCCCTGCACTAAATCCTCACACAGATGCTAGACAGTCTCATCACTGCAAGCATTTCTTTGTGCCTGAATAATTCAATAGTAGATAGTTGAACAGATGATTTACAGAAATATATTGAAAAGATCAACGTTGATGCATTTTGCAGAGGTAAAAAAGCTGTTGTGTGACGCAAGCAGGAGTCATCTGGGTGTGACTTGTTTGACAGATACATCACTACGTAAGTAAGTGAGTGAGTGTGTTACAGCTCCTACTTCCTTTGATATACATTCAACACAAAGCAGCTGCAGACTTGAAGAGCTACACTGAGGTACCTCAACATTTAATATGGATATTGTGAGATTCCAGTCACTGCTATACTGTACTGAGCGCATTAGTCATCAGGAGCACGAGTCTCTGAGAGGACGCGCTCAGAATGTAAAGGAGGCATCCAGTTTTTATGTCTCCGCTCCTCGAGTCGCTGAGGAAAGAGAAGCTGATTCATTTCACCCCCTCTTTCTCTCCTCTCCCATTCATCAGATGAGGGCTGTATTAGCATGGTTAGCAGAGCAGCTGTGAGACACTATTCATATATACACATATCGGAGTATCAAGTGGAGTGAATTCAGGACTTTTATCTTCTTTAATTATGTAAATCATATGCCACAGATATTTCCTATCGAGGCGAGAGGCAGGGCTTTTTTTCTTTCCTCTCAGCACATTTTCAATGAGCTTCCCGAGAGAAGCAGGCGGGAGGAACAATACTTCAACTGCATGTTACACAGAATGTGGTCCGGGTGCTTCGTCTCTGACTATCAAGGCCTGGAAATGACAAATCGTCTTCCCTGTGTATCTTCTGGATCATTTCTTTGTATGGTGTTTCCTTGCATTTATATACTATACTTCATTTTTGGTCGATTCCATTAGAGAAGACGATTTTGCAGACTATCTTTTACCACAACGAGAAAAAAACCCAGACAAGCATGTAGATGTAGTAGTTCCACATCTTCGGGAAATATGCTAATTTGTTTTCTTGCCATGATGAAAAGATGAATACAACTGTCTGTATAGTGAATATGAGGCTGCAGCTGGTTATCTTAACCGCTTAGCAATATGAACGTTTTAACGCAACTACATAAATAGGAAATAGTGCTATTTAGTGAGCTTAAATGTTGGTTAATACATGATGTAAGGCTACTCCTAGAGGCAGTTCAATTGCATAATCAATGGGAAGATGCAATTAGCACAATTAGCCCTGTGCTTGGTGAACTGAGACAAAATGTCCAAACTGTTTCTTAAATGTTAGCATACTTAGCATGAGCTAAAACGCCATCCATCCAATGATATTCTCTGGTTTGGCTACACAACAAGCCTAGCTGCTGAAGAGCTTTAAGTAAGCTTATGCATGTACTGTCAATATATAAACTTACAATCAAAGTTGATAGCGCTGTGTGTATATGCAGCTGCAGGAGATTCATGCCTCAGCAGACAGCAATCTCAGACTTTAACTGAGAACATAATCATGCCTTACACTCCTCTTGAAATGTTCTCACCAACCACTTTGTGAATTGCATGACAAATATTGTATCTGACAGTGGAACACCTTGTAGCTTTTACGCTGAATGCATCGAGCAGTTTTACTTCGGTGTAGTTTCACAGAAGCAATTTAACTTCTGCTTGCAAATGTCAGAACAGTAGCTGCACGTCTGCCTAACTACGCACGGTCCTTCACTTTATTCCTCACTAGATTTCATTCCTATTGACTGCACTTCTTCTCTGTAATTTCCCATAAGGAGCTTCAACTTTCGGATTTCTTGATAGCGCAAACACACACACACACAAAGCCTTGAAAGATAAATCTATATCCCTCTTTCGCATTGCCTGCAGCTATAGCATGTTTTTTGGGATGAAAGTTTGATGTACTGCACAAGTGTTCATCCTATAAACTCACGGTAAAATCCCCCTGAAGGTGCAGTGGATGTGAAGACAAATTGGCATAGCGTTCCTGCTTCCTGGCACGCTGCCTCTCAAAGCTCAAACACACCAAGAAAGTTGACAGTGTTATTAAACCCAGTCGAGTGTAGGTGAAGGAATATTAAATTGTGGTTATGCCCTGATTCCTTGTCATCAATCCTCTCGCTTGCTTCAGTAATGGGATCTCAACCATAGATGAGGCAAATTAAGAAAGCCAAGGTTTTACACACAACCTTAATTGCCAAGATTGTGTTCGACAATACCGATTAGTTTTCTTCGCCCTCTCAACTACTTCCTGGTCTGTAAAGTGCTGAACTGAATTAAAATCAGACACCACTCCAGATACAGAGAGAGGAAATCGCAGCGTAGTTACAAGAGTGTCCCAGCCAATGACAATGGAAATAGTGAGTGTGTGCAGACAGACAATCAATAAACCTGCAAGAAGCTCCCACAAGGGCGACTTCCCCGGATGATGTTTGTTATTCATCCGCTGCGAGAGCCATAAAGCATCACAAAGAGAGTGAAGTGACAAGAGCAGTGAGGATAAAAAGTACCTGCAGTGAAGTTGTAACTTGCTGAAAATCCCACGGCTTCCAGTTCACCATCCGTTACAAATTTTATCCACAGATATCGGCCGCTACTCCTGATATCAGGCGGGCTGTGCTGGCCGCAGTACCGTCCCAGAATCGGAGAGAAGCCAAAGGGTCCATCCCGAACCTCGATGTTGTCAAATTTACATTCCCAAGAGGACTCGATTGAATAATTCTCCTCAAAGTGTAGATCAATACACTGCCTTGGGGGTGCTGGAAGACACAATGAAAATAATTACCACCCGGCACAGCAGGGGGGGGCGATATTAGTCATGCTTTCATTGATGAACGCTCAACTTGTTTCATTATCACCACGCCCTCACGCTCAATACCTCCAACCCCGGCTGTTTGTCAATTCATCTCCCAAACACCAAGCTGTGAAAGTGATTAGCCTCTACACATTGTGATTATCTGATCTATCTAATAATATCTCATAACGTTAAAAAACACCAGCTGGTTTAATGAGCTGTTTGATCGCTCTCTAAGAAGTTACTGTGGGATTGGTTTTAGGGAACAAATGGCTGAGTATTTACCTTCGAGGATGTAAACACACTCTGTGGTTGGAGGGTATTTGTTTGGGTAATTGGGAGAAGTGAAGATCCCTCCTTCTGCTTCCTTCACCCACGTTCCACATTGACCTGCAGGCTTCACACCCGAGTTGTTCTTCGCTATTCAGCAAAGAGAAAAGCAGAAAGTGAGAGATTAAAGCCGTGGAAAGAGCATGTTTAAGCAGTAAAGAAAGACGTGTTGGGATGCAGATTACCTGCTGTATCCTTCCTTGTTGCCCCAGACAACCCAAGTATGAGAAGACTTGCAACAACTGTAAGAAGAGAAAGACAAATACATTATGATGGACAACTGAGGCGTGCTTTTTTCTGTGTTATTTTCCACTGTTTGTTAACATTTGTTGTGTTTGAGTTCAGCTAAATGTAGGGTTGAGTCAGCAGGGAACACATTTCATGATCAGCAGTATGCTCGACCTTCTGCCCAAAAAAGCACACAATACCTAACAATAGCCATAACAGCCAATGATCTGTTGTGTACAAAATGGCTGAAAGAATCCAAATAGCACATAAAATAACCTAGGCCTTTAGTGTAAAAACAAATAAACAGAAGGACTCCTTTGAAAGGAATCAGGATATTACCCTTTTAATTCGTTTTTATATAAAAAATAACTAAAGAAGTACCTAGAAATGACAAAAAAAAATATTGGAATAATACAAATATAATTCAAAAATAAATGAGAGAAGTAACAACAAAAATGTAATTAAAAATACTTTTAATATAACTAAAATAACCCAAAGTACTACAAAATGAATAAATACCAGTATAAAATCGATTCTGTGAGATGAATGTTGACTATAAACACATGCAATCACCACAGCTTATTGAACATAATTTCCTCCCAAAATAATGTTCCCTGAAGTCCTCCAAGAACTTGATGACCTTCAGTTTACAGGTTGCAGTGAGTCAGTGCATGCCCTCATGATATTACTTTCATCAGCATGCTCTTATTCTGACTTTAAGCTGTTGCTCTGTATTTAATGAAAAGATTACTTCTCTCTCGTTAGGGTACAAGCAATCAGATCTTAATGAGCACTGCTTGTTGATCTGCTGCAGTCTTACCGTGATGGAAGCTGTGCCCATGTACCATGTCTGTTCCTTTCACAAGCGGCTTCAGACTCAACTAATTCCATTTAGATTTAGGAATACTTGAAGAGAGAAATAAGAGATTGAGATGAGAGTTTCTGAAAATTCACTCCGGGAAACCGCTCATACCATGCAACCTTCCGGGGGGGAAATGTACTCCTTATTAAAATCTTTAAGGGGAAATAAGAAAGATCCTCGCAGATGAACTAATCACCAGTTTCATATAAAACCAAAAAGAGTTCTAAACACTCGCCCGATTTCCATCCAAGCGTTTCTAATTCCCGTTGGTGCTTTTGATGCACTGAAAGGATTAATAGTCCCGTCATCAGCCCTTCTCTAATCGCTCCACCTTTGCAATCATCTTTGAGAAAATATCAGCCTGGTTTGGTCCCTGTATCAGGAGAGGGGGTCCTTCACCGCGCATCGCTCATCTCTGCAGCCGTGCCTCCACTCTCTAGCGCTGCGTAAAATCCACTGGAAAACACCGGGTACCCAAACCGAAAAAGAACGAAATGAAGTGTGTTTTCCTCTGGGTTTTATTTGTAGCTCCAGATCTGAGTGGGTCCCTCTGTCTTCCCGGCTTCTTCCAACTGGAGGAGAGTCCTCGCGGAAAGCAAAGAGTCAATGTGTGATCTCCCTCCTCCCTCCGTTCACTGCCGGCCAATGCGCCACCAGCCGCACGCACTTCTGAGGCACTGCAAACTTCTCCTGCACTTCCTCAACACACACACACACACACACACACACACACACACACACACACACACACACACACACACACACACACACACACACACACACACACACACACACACACACACACACACACACACACACACACACACACACACACACTGGAGTAGAGAAGGACACGCTCGTATGTGCGCAGCAGCAGAATTCATTCCATCTCGTGGAGAAATGCCGCGAAATGGAAATGGAAAGGGAAGCAGAAAAAGGCAATGAGATATGAAATGGAATAAACAAACACACGCTAATAACATGTCAGAGTTCTATCAGCGAGATCAAACATGAGAAAGGCTGCAGAATGAAATGAAGTGGGGGAGAAATAGGAAGCACCAAAGCATGCTTTTCATCCTGATCCTGCTCATTACCAGCTTTGATCCGGTTCAAATCAACTATAACTCAAACCTGAACGAAACACTTCATCTTTCACTTTATTAGCAACATTCAACATCAACACATCTAGAGTGTTCACACAACAAGAAGAGGATGGTAAAATATATTAAAAGGGACCTAAAGCCTTCAGACCAAAGTAGTCGAGTAAAATGTACAATTGACCCTCAATTCTCAAGCAAAGTAGCCTTCCCTTAAAGTGGACCTATCATGCTATATTGGAAACATATATTGTAGGGCCATACCTATACAAAACATGTCTGTGAAGTTTTTTGCTTAAAATACCAAACAGTTCACCCATTGTAGCCATGCCTCATATACTGCTCAAACCCCTCTTTTGCAGCCCTGTTAGAGAAACGCGGATTTTGGGATTTTGTTTCTTGAAAAAAAAAAAAAAAGAGGAGGCGGAGCTAATGCCTGATCAGAATTCTACCGGAGATAAAGTTCAAGTCTGTTGTGATAAAACGCCATCCTGTTCTAAACCACATCAAGGATTGTTTCTGAAACAGTATGGAGCTCAAATGCTTTTTCTCTTGCGGGTTTATCACAAGGTGAGTTCTTTTTTTTATTTCCTGCTTTTTAAACACATGTGCTCTCCAGTACAGGTTAGCTCTGAGTGTTAGCGAGGCTTGCTAATGTAAACAAAGACCATATTACGTCCAAAACACGTCAGGCATTGTTTCTGATAGCAACTTTCTGTGGGTCCGCCGCCGATTTGACGTCATATCGGCAGCAAATCTGTATCCGCTCGTTGTACCCCCGTTTTTAAAAGATTTGGGTACGGAGGAAAAGAGAAAGGGTTTTATTTTCTGACGCTGCGTGAGTTCCCCGACACATCGGGGACACATATATGTATAAAAGACATCAAAAAGTGCATTTTGCATGATAGGTCCCCTTTAAGTTGTACTTAAGCAGAGTACATGGGTAAATGTACTTACGGCCCGTCCACACGGCGGCGTGCGTTGAAGCTTCAACGCTTCTTCCCATTCACTTTGAATGTGGTGACGTCACGCTTTGCCGAACTGCATTGTGGTTCCGTCGCTTCGCGTTGCTCGCTTCAAAAGTTGAGAAAAGTTCAACTTTTGAAGCTTCGACGGAAGCGTCAGCCAATCAAATCATATGCCAGTACAAGCTCTAGACAATCAAACCGCATGCTTGTGTGTCCGGGGCGGGAGATTAATGTGATTGGTTGTTGGTCGAGTTTCAGACACGCCCACCGGCAAGCTTCAACGCGACGCTGCCGTGTGGACGCTGCGTAAAAGTACGCAGAAAGGCAGAAAGTGAGGTCCCAATTCTCAAACCAAAGTAACCTTGCCCTAAAGTCTTTGTTGTATTTGAGTGGTACCTATAAAACACAGCCAACCACTTCAAGGTTATCATCCTTACCTCTCCATGTTTACAAAAAGACAGAGAGGTAAAGTGAAGAAGCCATTTTCCTCCCTTTTATTCCTCAGAAAAGTGACAAAGACCCATTTCCTTCCTCGTGTGAGTGTCAGGCTGTGTGTGTGTGTGTGTGTGTGTGTGTGTGTGTGTGTGTGTGTGTGTGTGTGTGTGTGTGTGTGTGTGTGTGCGTGCGTGCGTGCGTGCGTGCGTGCGTGCGTGCGTGCGTGCGTGCGTGCGTGCGTGCGTGCGTGCGTGCGTGCGTGCGTGCGTGCGTGCGTGCGTGCGTGCGTGCGTGCGTGCGTGCGTGCGTGCGTGCGTAGCGGCTCTCACACCTGATGACAGAGCTGATCAGAGCCCAGGGACAAGTCAGATGCTCCGGATCCCAAAAATAGTCTTGGCATCCAGCGGACAATATCCATCTTCAGATGCTGCAGAGCGTCTTGGACCCGCTCCCCTTCAGTGTGCATGTTAATGTTCCTCGTGGACAATTTGGATCGGCTTTAAATATACTTTTAATAAACCGACCTCATCTTTTTGTGACGTTATGCCCACTGAGTGCAAGGACCCTCTTGAGATGGAGAGATAAATACACTCTCTAACGTCCTACTCTTAATTACATCCGCTCCCAGAGATCGGCCCGTGCTCACTCACTGCTGTAAAAGTGTTTTTTACAGCAGGTAATACAAATATTTCAGGAGACAAGCTGACTTTGAGAATACGCGTGGGAGTGGGAAATCTCAGAACTCTTTTCAACTAATAGGCTCCTGCTAATCTGTTATACAGAGTGATTTAATGGACCTGGGATTCAGTCCAACTCAAAACAGAACTGAAGCTATACGCCAGTCTCTTTCTTGCAATCAACTCCCAGGAAGCCCACAGTCTGAATGGCTCCTCGGAAATTTCATGGCTGAAAATAATTCAAAATGTCAATTTCTCTGCAAAGCCTATTATAGATCTTCCAGTCTGAGGGGATGTCATTAATATCTGCAGCAACATACAATGCAGAGAGTTTGTTATTGATCAACAGAGGTGCCTCACAACTTTATAAGCAGCACGCCGCACGTTTCTGATGGGTAAACTCGGAGATAAGACGATGGGAATTATTCAAATGAGGCTTATCGCGCCCACTGTATGCAACAGTAGCCCTGGAGAATTTACCATGTATAAACTGTCTGTTTGACTGAAAGGCGTCGAGGCATCTCAGAGAAATAATTCATTCGACAGCAGCCTCAAAGTCGGACGTTTTTAATTAAGGAGGTCTATCGTTTGGCCGGAGATAACTGTTGTGCTGTGTCGGCCGAACAGAACATTTGTAATTGTAATCAGTTTAGGGAAATGGGCGCCGGACGTTTAACATGCAGCGCACACGACTACACACGGGCTGGTAAACATATCAATACGTTAAACATCCACTGCTCCATTTTATGCTTTATATTCACTGAAAGTGCACATATTGTGCTCAATTTAAGTTTCATACGCGTGCTTTAGGTAATAGAACATGGTTTCAACTTTAATCTTCTAAAAAAATAATTGTTTTTATCATACTGTCTGGTTTAAAACAACTGTGTTCACTTTTTTGTTAAAGGCTCCATTTTAGCGCCTGTCTCTTTAAGAACCCCGCCCCAAAATTCTCTGCTCTGATTGGCTCGTAGGAAAAATATGGCACCCCTCTCTAGAGGTAGCTCTCAGGGTTGGATGAGATGGCGTTGTTTTTCAAAGCAACTATTCTCTATATCTTGCCAATGTCCCACTCGGGGACTTAAGAAAATAATTATTTTATGGCAATTTTCATATCTGTATCTCCTGAATCTGAAATGCATAAGATATGTTTGAATGTATCACCATGCAAATCACCACTCATTAGCTGGTAGAGCTTTGCCACTTTGCAAACTAACATTCCCTCGGATTAGTTACACAAAATGGATCGTGATTTACGAGACAATCCTGCGTCAGTAATATCTGTAAAGATTAAACTGAAACCCTGAATACATTACATTTGGACTCATAATTTAATTCCAGATAACAGTGGTGTTACACATATTAACAACCCAGTGGATCTCTTTAAATGTATGATTAGAAGTTAAATAAAGAAAATCTGATTGTCTTGTTGAATCTTATGTTTTCTGATGGCATACAAAACACTGACTGGTTTGTCAGTTATTATAATTTGTTGATTGGTAGGCACTCAAGATACCCAAATATACTATATGTGCACAAGCATTAAAGAAAGCTTTTTCATGACTGCTCATTTCCCAGCTTTGACGTCACGCCAACAGTTTCTCTGCTTGTCTTTCAAACACCAAGACTCATACGCTTCACTTGCAGAATACCAGTCAGAGGAAGTATATTTTCCCGCAGCATATCCAAAACAGCAAGTCATTCATGATTGCATGGTGCTCACTTGGCACAGAGCTGATGAGTGAGTCCAGCCTCACTTTGTGTCATTGTGATGACACTGGCAGCCTCTGTTTGTCAGAGTAACAGGGGACAGCGCTGGAGTGGATAAACACTTTGGCTAATTCCTGCTGCGCGCTGGGACTCAAATTAACCTTATTAGTGATGCATTGAGCAATGTGTTGGCCTAAAAAAACACAATTTATTTGTCATTCAAGGCGCCTCGCAGTTCATTAAGCAGGACACAAATTACAAGGAAAGGTCGCTTCACCACGGTGCATTTTGAGCTCTTTATGCTACGTTAGCTGTCTGGGTCTCTGGTGATAGATTCCCTTTATCAGGCCCAGCACCTGGAGCAGGTGGGAACATATTTCCATCAGATGAAAGCACATAAACTACCTGTGGCTTCACTTGTGTTGAGGTGCCTTTGTTAGTTTGCACTGCAGCATGCCATTATAAACCCCGTTCAAAATGACACACGGTTAAAGGAAACCGAAAAGGAAAAATGTAACGTTTTTGAACTATTGTTGGAAAAAAGATATCCAATCCAACTTTATTTATATAGCACACTAATGTAAAAGCAAGAGACAATAAAACCATACTTATAGCCACAGACTGATATATATATATATATATAATAAAGTGGACTAAGCACAAAAAAAGCCCAGCAAATGATCAAAGTTGGATCCATTTAACTGTATTGTATTTCTACATTAAAATGTTGAATTGTGC